CAACTAATTTTTCTATTTTTTGTAGAGATGGGGTTTCACCACATTGCCCCCTCTGGTCTTGAACTCCTGGGCTGAAGAGATCCGCACATCGGCCTCCCAAAATACTGGAATTACTGGCGTGAGCCACCACACCCAGCTCCTGACTTCTTGATTTAAGGTGATTTTCTTTCAGTTACATTGTCTCTCTCTGCAATCTGACTTCTGTTATGACCACCCTACCTCTCATCCAATAAATCCTTAATATATTTAAACCTGAGTTATGGAAAGGAGTTGAATTCACGTAGAGTCCATGTATCATACGCAAATCAGAAGACGGTGAATACCCTGGTGGAAGAAGTTCCACCCCATAGCTTGGAGCCCGCTGTGGATCCTGTTACAGAAAGACTAAGGAGAGTGTATGTAAAGAATCTAGCAGTCTCACTCGGTCACCCAGGCTGGAGCACAAGGGCACGATCTCGGTTCACTGGAGCCTCTGCCTCCCAGGTTCAAGCGATTCTCCTGTCTCAGACAGGAGTAGCTGGGATTACAGGCGCCTGGCACCACGCCTGGCTAGTTTTTGTGTTTTTGTGTTTTTAATACAGATGGGGTCTCACCATGTTGGCCTCAAGCTCCTGACCTCAGATGATCCGCCCGTCTTGGCCTCCCAAAGTGCTAGGATTACAAGCGTGAACCACCGTGCCCGGCCTAAATTGTCTTTTTTTATGCAATGATATTGAAGTTTGGTATGGTTCAGGTTAGTAACTCAAGGTCATGGGTCCAGTAATTCTCTCCCTCCTCCAACATCAAGTTTTTTCTCTACTGGATTTATTTACAACTTTAGCATACAAATGTACTTCTCACTTGTAGTTAAAAACAGCAACCACAAAAAAACCTCTCTTCAGCCCACATCTTTACAAACACCTCTGCCCCATTTTTGTCTTCCTTTTATAATAAAACTCTTCAAAACAGTTGCCCATATCACTATCTCCACTTCGTTCTTCTCGTCTCTCTTAAACCTCTGCTGATGAAGGTTTCATTCCTCTCCACTCACACAGCTCTTGTCAAGGTCACCAAAGACCCTCACATGATCAAAGCCAATGGCTAATCCTAAATCTACTAATGGAGACCTCTGACACCACAGAGCATCCCCTCACTCTTGAGCTATCTTCTTCACTAAGCTTTTAAGAACACTGTGGTCAGGCGCAGTGGTTCACACCCATAATCCTAGCACTTTGGGAGGCCAAGGCAGGCGGATCGTTTGAGGTCAGGAGTTCGAGACCAGCCTGACCAACATGGTGAAACCCCATCTCTACTAAAAATACAAAAAGTGGCCAGGTGTAGTGGCAGGCACCTCTTATCCCAGCTACTTGGGAGGCTGAGGCGGAAGAATCTCTTGAACCTGGGAGGCGGAGTTTGCAGTGAGCTGAGATTGTGCCACTGGTGGCAGAGCGAGACTGTCTCCAAAAAATAAATAATAATGATAATAAAGAAAGAACATTGTTCTATGGGGTTTCCTACCATGCAGATCGCCTCTTCTTGCCTCCCTTGCTGGTTCCTTGTCATCTTCCTGACCCCCAAGGGCTGGGTACACTAAGCTTCCACCTTCAGTACCTGTCCCTCCATCCCACATGGTGACCACCTCCGGTCCCACAGCTTTAAATACCATCGATAAGCTTATGTACCCCAACTTTATCTGTCTCCAACCTGGACTTCTTCTGAATGCCAGACTTGTGTAGTCAACTGCCTACTTTACAAGTCTCTTTGGGTTCACAATTCAAACTTAACCTGTCCAAAACAGAGCTCTTTATTTCCTTTCCACCAACTTTGCACCTGGGTCTCTATCACAGTGAACGATCTCTTCATTCTTCCAGTCACTCAGTCAACAACCTTGAAATTGTTCTTGATTTCTCATCCAATCATTAGATTCCTATGTGCTCTTCTTTCAGAAGAAATCTAGAATATGACCTGATCCTGCTGGACCCTGGCTTCCCCCTTCCTTCTCTCCCTGGCCTGTTAGCACCCACTGGGCATCTTGGCCAAGACACTGGGGTTATTACCTGTGTTCCCTCAATATACTGTGCTTTCCACTTATGCACCTTTTCCTAGGATAGAGTGTCTGCCTGGAATGCCTTATCTCTCATTCCACGTTTCCCTAAACATTTCAAAGTTCAGCTCAAACATGCCCCCAGTCACTTTATTTTCACCATTCAACAAGCACCTAAAGAGTTCTTACCAGACAAGGGTACACATGCCCTGCTCACTGGAACCAGTCTATAAGGAGTGAGAGCCAAAGGGCAACTCATCTTACCTCCCTTCCAAGAGCCGAGCTGCTGAAAGACAGGGTGTACAACTTTGCATAAACATCATTGTAGGCACAACTGGGACTCTATGAGTATTTACTGAATCCATAAATGGAGAAAATAAAATGTTCATTCACCATACCCTCAATTTACCTACTCAGCAAATATTTATTAAGTATCTTTATTTTATAACAGAGAGGGTCTCACTCTGTCACCCAGGCTAGAGTACAGTGGCCTAATCATAGCTCACCACAGCCTTGAACTGCTGGGCTTAAGCCATCCTCTTGCCTTGGCCTCCTTCCTAAGTAGCTAGGACCACAGGCATGCACCACCATGCCCAGTCTAGTACATATTATGTGTTAGGAATATCACACAACTCTGAAAAGTTACAGCTTTAAAGAACAGACTCTACCTCTAATCTAGTCCCACCACTTCATAGAGATCGGGGGTGTCTACGTCTGTGCACTTAATCTGGAGAGTGGGGTGCTGCATGCTTTGAAATCAGGATCATGTGCACACAACCCCATCCTTTGGAGGATATCAATATTCAGTTCAGAGAACACATTTGACTTCCCAATTTATTGGCAACATCCACCTTTTTTTTTTTTTTTTTTTTTTTTTTTTTTTTTTTTTTTGAGAGGGAGTCTCGCGCTGTCGCCCAGGCTGGAGTGCAGTGGCCGGATCTCAGCTCACTGCAAGCTCCGCCTCCCGGGTTTGCGCCATTCTCCTGCCTCAGCCTCCCGAGTAGCTGGGACTACAGGCGCCCGCCACCTCGCCCGGATAGTTTTTTGTATTTTTTAGTAGAGACGGGGTTTCGCTGTGTTAGCCAGGATGGTCTCGATCTCCTGACCTCATGATCCGCCCGTCTCGGCCTCCCAAAGTGCTGGGATTACAGGCTTGAGCCACCGCTCCCGGCCAACATCCACCTTTTTTAAGAGCTTATTTTGTTAACTTTTTTTTTCCAATCCAACAATAACATTTTTGGGAGGCCTAGATGTGCCAACTAGTGTGCTTTGGGGATACAGAGCTACAGAGGCAAGGTCTCCATCCTGGAAGAACTCAATTAATTTGGGGAGCTATCACTGTTAATGTAGTATTGATAAAGTGTGGTGAGAGATTTGAAAGGAGCATTCACAAAAGTAATCTTCAGAATCAGAAAAAGTATCTTTCTGCAAGAAACAGATTTTCTTTCAGGTCAATGAACCCTTTGAAATGTAATGATCACCTCCTCCCCTAGGAAACCTGAGGAAGAGAAAATGCCTACCGGCCTCTCCCTGTGTACAGAGAGGGTAAGGGTAGAGTGACCCGGGCAGGGGGATGGTCAGACACTGCAGGTCTCACCCCTGCCTATGGGAGCACTCCCCTGGGGGACTTGGGAAGCATCTCCTCTCAATACATAATATCCTGTTGGCTAAGAACATTCCAAACCTAAATAGAGAAGTTGCCCTGTTATCCACCCATTTCAATTTGTCCAAAGCTTGCTGCTTTCCATTTAGGTTCCTTGTCTAGAAGTGACCCCACACACTTATCCATGGGTAAAAGATTTGTAGAGTGATCTGGAGAAACTGCAGAAGCAAGAATAATAGTAAATCCCCTGGAAGTTTCATTCATCTGTCTCTCACCATGTTGCTCTTCCCTTGTCATGTAGTTAGTTATACAGGTCAGAACACAGAGGCCATAACTGAAACAAAGTTGACCTCCATGGTATTCATTACATGTCACCTTTCACATTGGGATTTGGATTTCACCTTCACAGAAGTTCTGTAAAGAAGTCTCTCCATTAGAGGCAAACACACGTTTAGCTTATAATAAATACCTTTCCCCCCTCCGATATCATGGTATTTTTAGGGTTAACTAATAAACATTTGAAAAGTGATCAGACCAGGCTCGTTGGATCATGCCTGTAATCCCAGCACTTTAGGAGGCCAAGGTGGGAGGATCGCTTGAGGCCAGGAGGTCCAGACCAGCCTGGCCAACATAGCGAGATCCCATTTCTACAAAACATTAACAAAAAATAGAAAGTGATCATTTCACTTCTTTAAGAAGAACACTTCTTTTTAGAAATGAGACATGATGATGCTCAGCAGTAAATATATATGAGGTGTAATGAGACCTGTGAGCTTCCTGGCAGTGTGAAAACAGGTAAATGGTTAATTCTCTTAAAAGACTGAGTATACCAATAGAAAATACCTTAGAAGTTTAAAAATCAACAATGCTAGGCAAAATTGAATTGTCTTACATTCCTATACTATCAAATTGTGATGGTCCTTGAAAACCCAGGTCTACAGGTGGGAAACTATTGAGAAGAAAAATAAAATATACCATAGCATCTCTAAAAGTGAATGCCACCTTACCTGGCACTTTTGTTTCTGCTTTCTAGTTCATTATATAATTAGTGACTTGTGCACAGATATCCCATTTGTGTCACTGAAGTCAAAAGGCTATGAAGTAAGATGTAACCATGTCCCATGACATTCTTTTAACATAACATGACTCACTTTATTTCTTTCATCCCTAAAAATTCACTTTAAAGAAAAAGTGGAGCCTGGAGCAGTGGCTAGAACCTGTAATCCCAGCTACTCAGGAGGCTGAGGCAGAAGGATGGCTTGAGCCCAGGAGTTCCAGGCTGCAGTGAGGTATGACCACATCGCTGCACTCCAGCCTGGGTGACAGAGTGAGATCCTGTCTGGAAAAAGAAAAAAGGAAAAGTGAATCAATTACCTTGAGCATTCGGATTTCCCGAAGGGCGATTTTCTTTATGACAGGGTCGTCTTCTGATTCCAGAAACTTCTTGATGGCCACAATCTGGCCCGTGTCCCTATTTCTACATTTGAAAACAACTCCATAGGATCCTTCTCCAATTTTCCCAATTTTTTCATACTTCTCCATCATAGAGGAATAAATCTTCTTAAAATGGATCTTCAGCTGGGAGTGGTGGCTCACGCCTGTAATCCCAGCACTTTGGGAGGCTAAGGCAGGCAGATCACCTGAGGTCAGGAGTTCGAGACGAGTCTGGCCAACATAGTGAAACCCCGTCTCTACTAAAGATACAAAAAATTAGCCGGGTGTAGCGATGGGCGCCTGTAATCCCAGCTACTCAGGAGGCTGAGGCAGGAGAATCGCGAGAACCCAGGAGGCGGAGGTTGCAGTGAGCCGAGACAGCACCACTGCACTCCAGCCCGGGCGACAGGGCTAGACTCCGTCAAAAAAACAAACAAACAAAAAACAGATCTTCACATAGTTTGAAAACGTCGCTTATAAAATATTGGCACGAACGGACTGCACTAGAGCCCCACCCAACGATGAGTGCTCGTCACGGGCCTAGAACAGAACAGGACATGTTAAGGAACGAAGCGTGGACCCGTGTCGGCAATGGCAACGCGATCAGGAGTAACAGCCTAGAGTTAGCTGCCTCCAATAACCCAATTTTAATCGCCCGTTAAATACCCTGTAAGTTAAAATGTAACTTGCCATCCTAAAACGAGCCGAGCTGTAAGATAATCTATCTTTTTAACGTTATCGTTCATCCGATCTAAGACACCTGAGCTGGCTGGAGCACGGGGAGAGCTAAGGGCTTCCCCAGTTCTAATTTCGGGTCTCATTTCCCTGCGGCAAGAAGACACCTCCCGGCTCTCCCCGGGGCGGCGGCGAGGCTGGGCCGCAGGGGACCACCACGCGCCCCTAGTCCGCGGGACCGGGAAAACCCTCCCGCGCCCGGACGTGCCCCCCAGCCGCGCCGCGCAGCGTGCAGCGGTGCCACGTGTTGGCCCGGCACTGCCCGCGCTCCTAGCCCGCCCGGGACTCACCGCGCCGCGGCAGTCTGGGCCGGGCCTGGCTCCCGCCTCGCCTTCTTTCGCCCGGCTCGGCTCGGTTCGGCGTGCCTCCGCCCGAGATCCCTATGGGAACCGGCCCCCGCCCCGGGTCGGCCTGGGCGGGGCCGCAGCGCCCCCGCTTCCCACCCCCTGCCCGGCCCAGCCCGGCCGCCGTCCCGGCTGCAGGAAAGGGCCCCGGGGGGCCGCCCTTAGTCCACAGGAGCTGTCCTGACCGCGGGCCGAGTCCCTGCACGTCCTGCTGCCGGGAGAGCAGACCTGCTAGATTTGCAAACTTCCGCAGGCCGTGCAAAGCGCAACTGTAACCGCGTCTGCGGGGAAGACGCCTGCGCTAGGAGCCCCTCCTGAGCGGTCCACATTTCCCTGGAACAGCCGTCCCCACACCTCAGAACCGCGGTTATTCCCTTTGGTCCCTTGGAGGCAGCTTCTGTGTCTGTGCTGATCAGTGCTGCGGCGTCAGTGAATGAATGAGAGGGAGAAAGGAAAGAAGAGGAAGGCGTGACCGCAGAAATTGGTTAAAGTCAGCACTTTCCTCCTACAGCAGGGAAGGTTCCACTGTAGTCTTCTGCTGTGGGACCCTTCTGGTGTGGGAGGTGGAAGCTTACAGAGCCTGCCTTAATTGTTTTCGGTTCCTTTCCCCCATCCTTCTTCCGACGGACTCCTGCTGCTCTGATCTGACACACTGGCAGGAAGCGGATGGACCTGTGGAAATCATGAAATCATGTCAGTTGCCACTGGGCAGACTGCCTCACACTTTGTCATCCGCCCCGTTCCCGGTGCCAGCATCAATGCGGGTATTTGCCCTGGAAGCAGTACCCGAGGAGAGAAAATTAACACAGTGTCTATGAAACGGGAGTCAATCCCGTGTCAAGCAGCATGCTACTAAATGTAAACCCAGGTAGGGTTCAGAAAGGAGCCTGGAGCTGAGGAGGGAGGGCTGGTGGTTGCCCTGGAAACCCAGTACAGGGATGGCCTAGAGGTGGTCTGTGAACAGAAATTGTTTGCAAATGGCAACCACTGATCTGTTTTCTGTCTCTATAGTTTTGCCTTTTCCAGAATGTCATGAAAATGGAATCAGACCGTATGTAGCCTTTTGAGGATAGTGGATCTCCCCCGCCACCCCAACTCTAGTGAGCTTTCAGATGAGATTGTAGCCGCAGATGACAATGTAAGTTCAATCTTGTGAGAGACCTTGAGCCAGGAGCACCCAGCTAAGCCATACCTGGGTTCCTGACCTCTAGAAACTGAAATATGTTTGCTGTTATGTTTTGGGGTAATTTGTTATGCAGCCATATATATCTAACACAGAAGCCCTTTTATTAATAGGAGGCTGAGAAAGTTCACTTTCATTCCTAGTTTGCTTAGTTGTGTTTTTGTTTGCTTTTTAAAATTATGAATGGACATTGAATTTTATCAAATGCATTTCTTCATCTATTGAGATGATCATTTGCTTTTTCTTTCTTTTCTTTTCTTTTCTTTTCAACTGAGAGGGGGTCTCGCTCTGTCACCCAGGCTGGAGTGCGGTAGTGTTATCACTGCTCACTGTACCCTTGAACTCCTGGGCCTAAGCAATCCTCCTACTTCTGCCAGGCCTGAGTAGCTGGAATTATAGGTGTTCACCACCTAATTGTTTTTATGTAGTCTGTTGATACAGTGAATTACATTGATTTTTAGATGTTAAACCAACCTTTTGTTCCTGGGATAAACCCAACTTATTTATGATTTTATCATTTTAATATATTGCCGGGCACGGTGGCTCACGCCTGTAATCCCAACACTTTGGGAGACCGAGGCGGCGGATGACGAGGTCAGGAGATGAGACCATCCTGGCTAACACGGTGAAACCCCATCTCTACTAAAAAAATACAAAAAATTAGCCGGGCTTGGTGGTGGGCGCCCGTAGTCCCAGCTACTCAGGAGGCTGAGGCGGGAGAATGGCGTGAACCCGGGAGGCGGAGCTTGCAGTGAGCCGAGATTGTGCCACTGCACTCCAGCCTAGGCAACGGAGCGAGAGTCCGTCTCAAAAAAGAAAAAGAAAAAAAAAATGTATATGTGTATATATATATATATATATATTTTTTTTTTTTTTGCTGGATTTGATCATTAATATTTTATTGGAAATTTTTATATTCATGTTTTGAGAGATATTGATGTATAGTTTTCTTGTAATGTCTGCTAATTTTGGCATCAGGATAATACTGATTTCAAAAAATGAGTTGGGAAGTGTTTCTCTTCCCTTTTATTTTCTAGAGATGTTTATATTAAATTGGTATTATTAATTCCTTAAATGTTTGGAAGAATTTTTTTTTTTTTTTTTTTTGAGACAGAGTCTTGCTCTTTCATCCAGGCTGGAGTGCAGTGGTGCGATCTTGGCTCACTGCAACCTCCGCCTCCTGGGTTCAATCAATTCTCCTGCCTTGGCCACCCAGGTAGCTGGGATTACAGGCATGTGCCATCACTCTCGTTTTTTTTTTTTTTTTTTTTTTTTTTTTTTTTGTATTTTTTGTAGAGATGAGGTTTCACCACGTTGGCCAGGCTGGTCTTGAACTCCTGACCTCAGATTATCTGCCCGCCTTGGCCTCCCAAAGTGCTGGGATTATAGGTGTGAGCCACTGTGCCTGGCATTTGGAAGAATTTGCCAGTAAAGTCACTTAGGTCTAGAGTTTTCTTTGTTGAAATTGTTTTAATTACAAATTCTATTTTTAAAATAAAATATTCAGGATGTCTAATTCTTCTTCAGAAAGCTTTGGTAGTTTGTGTCTTTCAAGGTGTCTGTTTCACCTAAAGAATTAAATTTCTAGGCATTAAGTTGTTCAATATAATAATATTACATTATTACTATTTTAATGTCTGTAAGATCTATAGTAGTGTTCTAGATTTTATTCTCAATATTGGTAAATTTTGTCTCCTTTAAGGCCTATCAATTTTATTGATCTTTTAAGAAAACACCAGCTTTTGATTTAATTGATTTCCTCTATTGTTTATCTGTTTTTCAATTTTATTAATTTCATCTCTTTATTATTTTCTTCCTTTGCTTGCTTGGTTTTAGCTTTTCTTTTCTTTTTTTTTTTTTGTTTTTTTGAGATGGAGTCTCGTTCTATTGCCCAGGCTAGAGTGCAGTGCTGAGATCTTGGCTCACTGCAGCCTCCGCCTCCAGGGTTCTAGCAATTCTCCCGCCCTAGCCTCTCGGGTAGGTGGGATTACAGGCGTGCGCCACCACACCCGGCTAATTTTTGTATTTTTTAGTAGAGAAGGGGTTTCGCCATGTTGGCCAGGCTGGTCTCAAACTCCTGACCTCAAGTGATCCACCCACCTCGGCCTCCCAAAGTGCCAGGATTACAGGTGTGAGCCACTGCACCTGGCCTAGATACTTTTTCTAGGTTGTTTTGTTTATTTGTTTGTTTTTAAGATGTAAGCTTAAAACATTAATTTTAGATCTTTGTGTGTGTGTGTGTGTGTGTGTGTGTGTGTGTGTAGAGGTCTCACTCTGTTGCCCAGGCTGGAGTGCAGTGGCCTAATCACAGCAACCTTAAACTCTTGGGTTCAGGCTCTCCTGTAGCTAGAACTACAGGCTCACACCACCCCACTTAGCTAATTTTTTTACTTTTTTGTAGAGATTGGGGTATCTCTATGTTGCCCAGGCTGGTCTCAAATTCCTGCCTCAAGCAATCTTTCCATCTCGGCCTCCCAGAGTGCTGAGATTATAGGCATGAACCACCATGACTGACCTGTTTCCTTTTCTAATGTAAGCTTTTTTTTCTTTCTAAGACAGTCTTGCTCTGCCACCCAGGCTGGAGTTCAGTGGTGCAATCTCGGCTCACTGCAATCTCTGCCTCCCAGGCTCAGGCGATCCTCTTGCCTCACCCTCCCAAGTAGGTGTGCCACCACGCCTGGTTAATTTTTGCATTTTTTGTAGAGACAGGGTTTCACCATATTGCCTAGGCTGGTCTCCAACTACTGAGCTCAGGTAATCTGCCTGCCTCAGCCTCCCAAATTGCTGGGATTACAGGCATGAGCCACTGCACCCCGCCTTCTAATATAAGCCTTTAATGCCATATTTTTTCCTGTAAGCACCACTTTAAATACATCACAGAAATCTTGATATGTTGTATTATCATTTTCATTCAGTTCAAAATATTTTCTTTCTTTTTTTTTTTTTTTTTTTTTTGAGATGGAGTCTCACTCTGTCACCCAGGCTAGAGTGTAATAGCATGATCTCAGCTCACTGCAACCTCCGCCTCCCGGGTTCAAGCTATTCTCCCACCTCATCCTCCCAAGTAGCTGGAACTACAGGCACGCACCACCACACCCAGCTAATTTTTGTATTTTTAGTACAGACAGGGTTTCATCATGTTGGCCAGGCTGGTCTCAAACTCCTGACCTTGAATGATCCTCCTGCCTTGGCCTCCCAAAGTGCTGGGATTACGGACCTGAGCCACCATGCCTGGCCCAAAAATATTTTCCTTGTGTCTTCCTTTTTGACTCATGGGTTATTTTTGTAGTGTGTTAATTTCTAACTATTTGGAGATTTTTAAAGATATCTTTCTGTTATTGATTTCAGTTTAATTCCATTATTTTCAGAGAACTCACTTTATATGACTTAAATTCTTTGAAATGTTTTATTTTGTTTTATGACCCAGAAAGAATATGGTCTATGTTCATGAATGTTTCTTTTTGACAATTTAAAAAAATATTTTGAAATGAAGTGAGAATGTCAGTGTGAATTTCCCCAGAGCTGCATCGTCTGAAGTTCATACCAGGTTAAATCAAGTTTGTGTGGAAAATTAACTTTATGGACTCCACAAGGTTCAGTACCCAAAGAGCCTGGAACTGTGCCAGGCCTAGTGGTAGTTAAAGTGGGAGCCAGTGTACTGGTTATTTATGCCCAAGTAGGCAGTGAACCAGAAAGCTAGCATGAGTTGCAGCTGCAAATTGTTTTGTTTGGAGGAATTTGAAACAAAATATTAGAGAACAACTTTAAAAAGGAGATAAACAGTCGCTGTCACCACTTAGCACGAAAGAGAGAAGGTAACATGGCCTCTAGACTAGTCAAACTGACAGTCCTTTCTGTTGGCAGGTGCGACACTGGTTTTGATATCAAAGAAGTATATCCTGGAAAGTATAGCTCTTGGGAATCTCAGAAATGGTCTGTTCTGTGGGGGCTTTTTCTCAAGCCAGTGCAAAGTGAAACAGCATTATATTCTGCTAACAGTGATCTTTTCTTTGCAGTTCTGTATAATTAGCAAGAACACTTCAGTGTTCTTAGAACAGTACAAACCGTACTATGGTATTTTAATCGTTTAAAGAAAAATAAACATTCAGTAGAGTAACACATAGTCATAGAAAAAGCCTGGAATTTGGAGTCAGAAGACCAGGATTTCTAGCTTCTTCCTGGTGTTTGATCTTATGCAAGATAATTACTATTGCCTATACAATAACAATATTATTTAATGAGTGCTTACTTTGTGGCAGGCATTATGCTAAGAATATTTGACCCATGAGCCTCACAGTAACCCCAGGAGATAGGCAGTAATATTATCCTGAGCTTTCAGATGACTCTCATTGAGTCAGAGAGGAAAAGTAACTAGCCTAAGGACACCCAGCTAGTGAACTGTGAAGTCAGTATTGGAATGCAGGCAGTTTGACTCCAGAATCTTTTCTCCCAACCATTTTGCTAATACTACCTAATGCATTGGGGTGGTTGGCAGGATTATTGAGTTAATGTGTAGGACATTGAGAGCTGGTGCAAAGCACTTAAAATGATGCACAGTGTGGCACCTTCCTTTTTTGTTTTTAGGCTACTGGGAAGATGAGTCTTGTCTATATGCTTCCTTCTCATGGTAGCTCAGCAACTTCATGTGTGTGCAGCTCCAGCACCAGGAGAATGAACTTCCATGAGATTGGGCAGAATACTGAAGCCTCATCTGAGTGCAGAACCCAGGGCCAATGCTTGAAGCTTGTTTTTTTTTTTTTTTTGAGATGGAGTCTCGCTTTGCTGTCCAGGCTGGAGTGCAGTGGTGCGATCTTGGCTCAGTGCAACCTCTTTATCCTGGGTTCAAGCCATTCTCCTGCCTCAGCCTCCTGAGTAACTGGGATTACAGGCATCTGCCACCACGCCTAGCTGATTTTTTGTATTTTTAGTAGAGACGGGGTTTTACTATGTTGGCCAGGCTGGTCTCGAACTCCTGACCCCATGATCTGACTGTCTTGGCTTCCCAAAGTGCTGGGATTACAGGCATGAGCCACCATGCCTGGCCAGCCTTTTTTTTCCCCCAGTTATGTTGTAAGGAAAGGGGAGTTGAGTCAATGTCATCTTAAAATGACACTCTACAGCAGCTTGAGGAAATACTTGAATTTACTGTCTCTGTTTTAAGTGGAATTGGGAAAGAAATTGATTCTAGAGTCCATACAGACAAAAGCTAATAAGTACCATTTAGGGACACATTTCAGTCTCAGTATCCACATTATCTCTGATCTTTATGACAATTTTACATAGATTTGTTAACTGACTGGGATTATTAACTGGCCTATTTTATGAAAGAAGAAGCTGAGGCTCTGAGAGATTGATCAATAGAGACAAAGTCACCCTGTTATCAAGGGCTGAACACAGGTTTCAAGCCCAACTCTGCCTATTTCCAAAGCCCGTGTTCTTGCGGTGGTGAATAGAGTTAGAACAACTAAGAATGCCTTGAGAAGGATCCTCTGTCCTTGGATGCCCTAGAGAGCTAACAGCGGGGCAGACCTGCCGGTCCAATCCAAATTTACAACATCCTGAAGAGAAGCCAGGTGTCAGCTGCATTCTTCTTGACCAGTCACTGCTAGAATGTTACAAAGCCAGGCATGCAAATAACTTTCCCCTTACCTGGAGATAGAAAAGAATGCTGAATTGGCCAGGCACGGTGGCTCATGCCTGGCTCACCATATATAAAGTATAAAGCTCACCATATATAAAGTACAATAAAGGCCAGGCGCAGTGGCTCACGCCTGTAATCCCAACACTGTAGAAAGCTGAGGCGGTGTGGTCAGGAGTTTGAGACCATCCTGGCCAACATGGTAAAACCCCATCTCTATTAAAAATACAAAAATTAGCCAGGCATGGTGGTGCATGCCTGTAATCCCAGCTACTCTGGGAGGTGGAGCTTGCAGTAAGCTGAGATTGTGCCACTGTACTCCAGCCTGGGTGACAGAGCAAGACTCCATCTCAAAATAAATAAATAAATACAATAAATATTTAAAAGGAAAAAATACATACAGAATAACTAAGGTTAATCAGAGAATGGAGACATTTTACTTTACTATTGGCTGAGCCTGTTTATAAAATCAGAGATGATAGGCTCCTTTTATAATTGATTTTCCCAGATTTACATTGATTCAGCAGTCTTTTTTTTTTTTTTTTTTTTTTTTGAGATGGAGTCTCGCTCTGTCACCCAGGCTGGAGTACAGTGGTGCAATCTCGGCTCACTGCAACCTCTGCCCCCTGGGTTCCAGTGATTCTCCTGCCTCAGCCTCCCAGGTAGCTAGGACTACAGGCATGTACCATCATGACTAGCTAATTTTGTATTTTTAATACAGACGGGGTTTCACCGTGTTGGCCAGGCTGGTCTCGAACTCCTGACCTCAAGTGATCTGCCTGCCTCGACCTCCCAACAGTGCTGGGATTACAGATGTGAGCCACCACACCTGGCCTCTTTTCTGAGTCTTATTAACACTGTTTTTGCATTTCCAGGTTTTCAAAGAACCACCCAGTACTTTCATCAACAAACCCACATGCCAGGAGAGCTCAGCAATATTAACACTAAAGCCCTGGAAGGCTTATGTGGCTAGCCCTGGGCTCCCAGTGAGTGAGTCAATGAATATGATCCTCTCCAGGAAATAAGTCTCAAGACCTCAAGTTGCACATCTATTTGCCACTTTGGACAGTTGGTTGCTAACCATACTTAATCATAAGGCTATCTATGAACATTTCTGCACTATCATGACCTTGGCATCATTATATTCTAGGGAAAAGCCCTGCAAAAGGTAACTTTTCGAGATTGAATAAATAGGAAAGAACATTAATTACTCTCTGAGTTTAGCTTAAAACTGTAACACAGAATCAGCAGTTTGGAAAGCCAACTTTTCCTGCTGACATGTGTCAGACACCATGCTGGGCACTGGAGACTCAGAAGCCACTTTGTCGAGATGAAACACTGTATCTCCTTGCAGAGCAAACCCTCCTGCCTCCCCCTCAGAGGGGTTCCTCCATGGAGGAAACTAGATAGGAGGACTTAGAGGGCTGGTGTTTACATTGTACTTTTTGTTTTGAAAAACACTTCACAAGAGTCTGTGAAGGAGAGCGGGCACATCTGGCATTTGAGGAAGCAGATACAGAAAATTTAAATGACTCATTCAGAGTCCAAAAGCAAATTTATGACAACAAACAGGCCTAGAACCTGGGTCTTAATTTCAAGTTGCATTCTTCTCACACTACTGTGCAGTTGACTTCAAATTAGGTAGCTCTAATTTTGGTTAAAGAAATATAAATCTACCTTAAAGGAACCCAATATTAAAATAGAAACATCTTTAATATTGTATGACAAAATGGGGAGGAGGGGAGGAAAGGGCAGGAAGTATGAATTATTTGCATTTAAAAATATTTCTCACTTTACGTAAAATACACTTAGATTTCTTTTCATACAGATTATCTTAGAAATTTATCCATTCCTTTTTTTTTCTTTGAAATGCTTTCATTATATTTTCTTGTGGTGAAAAACACGTAACATTAAATTTACTACCTTTTTTTTTTTAGACATGAAGTCTTGCTATGTTGCCCAGGCTGAGGTGCAGTGGCTATTCACAGGCAAGATCATAGTTCACTACAGTCTTTTTTTGGCGGGGGGAGGGGGACAGGGACGGGGACGGAGTCTCACTCTGTCGCCCAGGTTGGAGTGCAGTAGCGTGATCTCGGCTCATTGCAACCTTTACCCCCAGGGTTCAAGCGATTCTCCTGCCTCAGCCTCATCAGTAGCTGGGATTACAGGTGCCCTCAACCACTGCCTGGCTAATTTTTTGTATTTTTAGTAGACACAGGGTTTCACCATGTTGGCCAGGATGGTCTCAAACTCCTGACCTCTGGTGATCCACCTGCCTCAGACTCCCAAAGTGCTGGGATTACAGGTGTGAGCCACTGCGCCCAGCCTACAGTCTTGAACTCCTAGAATCAAGTGATCCTCCCATCTCAGTCCCCTGAATAGTTGGGACTATAGGTACATGCCACTGCACCAGGCTCAAAATTTACCATCTTAACCATTTGAAGTGTATAGTTTCATAGTTTAAGTACACTCACATTGTCGTACACAGATCCATAGAACTTTTTCATCTTGCAAGAGTGGAACTCTATACCGACTAAACAGGAATTCCCTCTCCCCTTAGCTCTTGGTTACTCTAACCCAAATCTTCATACTTTCTGTTTCTATGATTTTCATCACTTTAGGTACTTCGTGTGAATGGAATTATATGGTACTTGTCCTTTAGTGACTGGCTTAATTATCTTAACATAATGTCCTTAAGGTTCATTCATGTTGCAGCATATGACAAGATTTCCTTCTTTTTAAGACTGCTTAATATTCCATTGTGTGTATACACCACATTTTCTTTTCTTTTTTCTTTCTTTCTTTTTTTTTTTTTTTTTTTGAGACAGAGTCTCCCTCTGTCGCCCAGGCTGAAGTGCAGTTGTGCGATCTCAGCTCACTGCAAGCTCCGCCTCCCAGGTTCACACCGTTCTCCTGCCTCAGCCTCCTGAGTAGCTGGGACTACAGGTGCCCGCTACCACGCCCAGCTAATTTTTTTTGTATTTTCAGTTGAGACAGGGTTTCACCATGTTAGTCAGGATGGTCTCGATCTCCTGACCTCATGATCTGCCCGCCTCGGCCTCCCAAAGTGCTGGGATTACAGGCGTGAGCCGCCGCGCCCGGCCACATTTTCTTTATTCATTCATTTGTGGATGGATATTTTGGGTTGCTTCCACCTCTGCAAGGTTTGGCTTTGAATTCTTCTGGGTATATGCCCAGAAGTGGACTTGTTGGATGATATGGTGAACATATTTTAAATTTTCTTTTTTCTTTTTTTCTTTTTTTGAGACGGAGTCTTGCTCTGTCGCCCAGGCTGGAGTGCAGTGGCACAATCTCGGCTCACTGCAAGCTCCGCCTCCCGGGTTCACGCCATTCTCCTGCCTCAGCCTCCCGAGTAGCTGGGACTACAAGCGCCTGCCACCTCGCCCAGCTTGTTTTTTTGTATATTTTTAGTAGAGACGGGGTTTCACTGTGTTAGCCAGGATGGTCTCAATCTCCTGACCTCGTGATCCGCCTGTCTCGGCCTCCCAAAGTGCTGGGATTACAGGCTTGAGCCACCGCGCCCGGCCTCATATTTTACATTTTCTAAAGAACTGCCTTACTGTTTTCCACTGTGGCTGCACCATTTCACGTTCCCACCAATGGTATACAAGCGTTCTAACTTTGCATCCTTGCCATCACTTGTTATTTTTGGTTCTCTTGATAGTGGTCATCCTGATGGATGTGAGGTGATATTGTATTGAGGTTTTGATTTGCATTTTCCCAAAGATTAGTAATGTTGAGCATTTTTTCATGTGCTTACTGGCCATTCGTTTATCTTCTTTGGAGAAATGTATATTCAAGTTTGTTGCCCATTTCTTAACTGGGTTATTTGGTTTTGTTTTTGTTGTTGTTATTGAATTGTGGAAATTCCTAATATACCCTGCACATTAATCTCTTATCAGATATATAGCTTACAATTACTTGCCCCTGTAGGCTGCCTTTTCATTCTGCTGACTGATTCCTTGGACTCAGTTTGTTTAAGTTCGATGTCCCATTTGTCTAGTTTTTCTTTCATTGCCTATGCCTTTGGTACCATATCCAAGAAATCATGGCCAAATCCAATGTCCTGAAGCTTTTCTTCTATGTTTTCTTCTGGAATTTTAATAATTGAAGATCTTACATTAGGTCTTTGTTTGATAATTGAAGATCTGCATTTAGGTCTTTAGATCTTACATGAAGGGCTTACACGTTGGCCATCTTGGCTTACTTTTTGTATATTGTGTAAGATAGTGTTCCAACCTTATTCTTTTGCTTGTGGATATCCAGTTTTCTTAACACCAGTTGTTGAAGAGAATGTTCTTTCCCCATTTTGTAGTCTTGGCATTATTGTCAAAAATTATTTGTCCAGATACGCAAGGGTTTGTTTCTGGCTCTCTCTTCTGTTCGCTTGGTCTATGGATGTCTATTGATACGTTTTGGCTCTGTGTCTCCACCCAAATCTCATCTTGAATTGTAATCCCCACATGCCAAGGGAGGAACCCGTAAACTCCACGTGTCAAGGGAGGGAGGTGATTGGATCATGGAGGTGGTTCCCCCATGCTGTTCCTCTGATAGTGAGTGAGTTCTCACAAAATTTGATGGTTTTATAAGGGACTCTTTCCCCTTCACTTTCTTCTCTCTCCTGCCACCTTGTGAAGAAGGTCCCTGCTTCCCCTTTGCCTTTCACCATGATTGTGAGTTTCCTGAGGCCTCACCAGCCATGTGGAACTGTAAGTCAATTAAATGTCCTTTGTTTATAAAGAAAGCCTATACTCAGTCTCTGGTAGTTTTGTTTTTGTTTGTTTTTGTTTTTTTTTTGAGACGGAGTCTTGCTCTGTCGACAGGCTGGAGTGCAGTGGCGCGATCTCGGCTCACTGTAACCTCCGCCTCCTGGGTTCAAGCGATTCTCCTGCCTCAGCCTCCCGAGTAGCTGGGATTACAGGTGCCCGCCACCATGGCCAGCTAATTTTTGTGTTTTTAATAGAGAAGGGGTTTCACCATGTTGGCCAGGCTGGTCTCGAACTCCTGACCTCAGGTGATCCGCCCACCTCAGCCTCCCAAAGTTCTGAGATTACAGGTATGAGCCACTGCGCCCAGCCTCGGGTAGTTTATACTCAGTCTCAGGTAGTATTTTTATAGCAGTGTCAGAACGAACTAATCCATCAATCTTTATGCCAGTACCACGCCTTCTTAATTACTGTTGCTTTGTAGTTATAAAATTAGGAAGTGTGGGGCTTCCAACTTTGTTCTTCTTTTTCAAGATTGTTTTGGCTATTTAGGGCCCCTTGAGACTCCCTGGGAATTTTAGGATGATTTCTTTTTCTAAGAAATGCATCTATTTTTCAAATGGAGTTAATACTGTACATCCTATCACCTTTCTCCTCCCTTTCAGAAACTCTGTGATACTTATTCATTAGTGTCTATATAACTAGTTATACAAACAAAAACCTCTGGTGCCCAAGATACATTTTCCATGACAGCCATTGAATTTTTAGGCATGTATTGATCAAAAAAGTCTATGTAGTTCCATAAGATTATCTCTAAACTGCATGCATGCCAAGGATTCTGTGAAGATGATAGTTAAAACCACATGTGAAAGTTCTATTACTGTAAATAGCTTTCATAAGAATGGCTCATTGTCAAATATTAGTAGTGAGATATTTATTGTGAGGCATCTAAAGTGAATCCACATGTAGGTCCTTGTCAAAAATATACATTTAAACAGTATTCCTCCAAAATAATAACATAAATCCTTCACCTTAAACAACAGCCTATTAATTTTTCTACAATATTGTCTGACCTGATTTCCCCCAGTGAGAATGTGAACTCTGGAGCCAGACTGGGTTCAAATCCAGCTCTGCTAGTAACTGTGAGGACTTGGGCAAGTTCCTTAACTCCTGATGTTTCATATGTGTCGTCTGCAACATTGAAATGAGCTACCTCTTCACGTTCTTGTGAGGATTCAGTGCTAGATCCATGTTAGCTTTTTTTTTGAGATGGAGTCTTGCTCTGTTGCCCAGGCTGGAATGCAGTGGTGCCATCTTGGCTCACTGCAACCTCCGCCTCCTGGGTTCAAGCGATTCTCCTGCCTCACCCTCCCGAGTAGCTGGGATTACAGGCACGTGCCACCACACCCAACTAATTTTTATATTTTTGGTAGAGACGGGGTTTCACCATGTTGGCCAGGATGGTCTCGATCTTCTGACCTTGTGATCCGCCCACCTTGGCCTCCCAAAATGCTGGGATTACAGGAATGAGCCACCGCGCCCGGCCCCATGTTAGCTTTTATCATCATGACGATGATAATCGCTGTGTATTATTTTCTGTTCAGATGAGAAATTTATTTACTACTAAAATGTATTCCCTGCTCCACTGAAAACAATTTAAATTTTAAGTTTAGGGATTCATTTCAGGCTTAGCAATCAAGGGAAAACATTTATTTAGTCATTCAGAGTCCTAATCCACACTCCCAGGGTTTCTGCTGGAGAAATCCAATGTTTCCCACTGCCAGAGCAGTACTCTTGCCACCACATCGTGCATCTGCTCAAGGGGGGAATCTCTAGAAAGGAGACAGCACATGGTGGAGGAGCAAGGGCCGGAGAGCCCACCAGACCCGGGCTCATATCTGGGTTCTACCCTTCCTTGGCTGAGTGAAATCAGGAAAGTTACTTTGTGTGTTGGTCAAGAATATGTCTAAAATTTTGTTGTTTTTTTAGAGATAGGATCTTGCTTTGATTGCCCAGGCTGGAGTACAGTGACGCGATCACAGCTCACTGCAGCCTTGAATTCCTTGGGCTCAAATAATCCTCCTGCCTCAGCCTCTCAAGTAGCTAGTACTATAGGTGTGTGCTGCCACACTTGGCTTTTAAGGTGTTTTTTTTTTTTTTAATTAAACTTTTATTTTGAGATAATTGTAAACATCCAGTTGTAAGAAATCCCACATAGAGGGCCAGGCATGGTGGCTCACACCTATAATC